ACTGGACACCGGTAGCAATATCACAAAGGCATTTGGCAGTAAGGCTGAATAGACCGCACAGGGAGGGAATTAAGCATGTACCGCCAGGCATCAGAGTAACCCAGAGAAGTCACAACTGCACCCTGCGCTCGGGCCAGCGCCTTCTGCAACCACATATGCTACAGAACTCAACAACAATCGGCAACTGGTACGCACACATACATAGACTTCAAACCTTCATACATTCATACAGACACACGCAAGCCCATAAAAATGTGTGTTCACACCATGCCTCTTTTTATGCATATATATATATACACATTTATTTGTTTATTCATGCATAAAAGTTACATATGCATGCATAAGATTGCATAAGCACATGCACATGGACCTGATCTCTAATTACGTGCAGTCTACTTGAGAATGCTGTTTTTTTGTTTTCTCTCTCTCTCACTCTGACTCTCGCTGCACCTGCATGTGTCCGTTTATTTGCGCATACCCGGCTTTGCACACGAGGCCTTATGCCGAAACACTGCCAAAGATCGCCTACTTAGCTTTCCAGAGTTGCCTCTAGGCTCCGATAGGGAGGAATGTTTCTTCAGAAACATCACGTGTGCCCGGCGGGCAGATTGCTGCTAAGGCAATCTTGTGGCCTTTAGAGTTTTGACAGGCCACTGCGTTCTTATTGGTGGTTACCAGTTGTTGCAAATTGTAGGGTCTGGGTTTCCGGGGTCAGGTTGTAGCATTTATATCCGAAGCATGACCCAATACTCTGCTGAATTCTGAGCCCCCAAACTCAAAGCCCAGCTTACCGTCAGTCACGTAAACTAACTAAATATCAACCCTAAATTGTAGATGCTAACCGAAACCCTAACTCAAAGCCTCAAAGCTTCAACCAAGTTCCCAAAATTTACTTGGGCTTGGTTCAGGTGAGGTCAGGCCCCACGCTGGCCCTGTCGAAGCTGCAAATTGAAATTGACATGCGGCTTATAGATTAGCAAGGTCCAGCGCTGATTGTGGTTCGTAGGGGGTTTTGGCCGCGCCTCATTCGCCTAATAGTTTTCATTTTCTGCCCACCGTTAAGACAGGACAACCTGGTGTGTAGGCCACGGCCACTGCTATAGTGAGTGGCAAGGATAGAGTCCAGATCAGGGGAGGGCAAAAAAAGTGTGACTCACATCCCTTTCCAAGAGTAAGTTCATGGCATACGCTGCACGACGTCGTACACATCTAAACACATATTACACATATATATATATATGTACATGTATATATGTTCACAGTGGAAGCAGAACAGCCGGTCACAAGATGCCTGGTTTCGCAGTGAGTGCGCTGATGATTTGGGGGTTGTTGTTGTGGTCGTCGCCATCGTCGCTGTCGTTGTTATTCTCGTTTATGTCATAGTCCTTGCTTATTCTTAGAGCTAGTTTTAGTATGAGAATTTGTATCAACATTCGTATTATTGGTATAGCGCGCGCATCCGTACTAGCATTGGCAATATTATCAATATTATCCTTAGTAATAGTAGTAGTAGTAGTAGTAGTAGTAGTAGTAGTAGTACCGTGCAAATATTGGTGTTGGTATTAGTAATCCGTATTATTATGGCTGCCACTTCTGCGGTTGCTGCCGCTGCTGCTACTACTACTACTACTACTACTACCACGACTACAGGTGCTGTTACTGGTACTATTGCGTCGACTGCTTTTACTACTACGACTACTGCTGCTCCGAGTTGCTGCTCCTGCTCTGCTGACGCTGCTGCTGCTACTGCTACTGCTACTGCTACTGCTGTTGCTACTGTTGCGGCTACTGCTACTTCGACTGCTACTGCCAATTGCTGATCCTGCTCCTGCCCATGCTGCTGCTACTGCTACTGCTGCCGCTGCTGCTGCTGCTGCTGCTGCTGCTGCTGCTGCTACTGCTACTGCTACTGCTACTATTGCTGCTACTGCTTCTGCTGCTGCAAGCAGCTTGGCCTGCCCGTCCAAAAATGATTGAAACTATATTTAGAGAAAGTCCTTTTCATGCAGGTTTTAAATCCCCGAACCATTTCTCTGTCCGAGGGTCGAGTGTCCTTATTGCGAAAAACCGTCTCCAGGAGCTTGGCTTGCCGATTGCTCTGCCACTTGGCATACCGGAGGCTCCAGGCATTTACACATTGTTTTTCGTCCTATAAACACACCCTACACCAAAGTTGTCTCTTCGTCAGCGGTGCTGACTTAAAATCGTCAAACCCGAACCTGACACCCTAAACCATAAGGCCCAAATTTTGACACCCGAGCTCCACGTCTTAGTTCCTTATAAACACTGATCTTCGGAACGCCTGAGCCAGAAACCATGACCCAAAGCCTTGAACCCAAAAATCTCCAATATAGAAGCCACCATAATTACCTATATTATTCCCTAGAGTTCCTTAATGTAAGTACAGTATAATGGGCCGCGAAACCCTATTCTAATTATTAAGGCCCCTACATTGACCGTAGAGTGTCAAGCCCGAGGAAGCTCGGAGCATGGCGGGGCATGTCACCAGATCTGGACCCTTGCTGCGGAGGCCTGGGGCTTCATGTAGGTTTAGGGTTTAGGTTTGGTTTAGGGTTTAGGGTTGGTTTAGCATATTCAGGCTTCTGAAGACCATGACTGCGGCGTTTAGTGCCGTTGCGGGTGCTGCAGCACTACTACAGTACTACTACTGCTACTCCTGCTGCTGCTACTACTACTACTACTACTACTACTACTACTACTGCTACTACTACTGCTACGACGACGACTACTACAACGACTACTGCACTACTACTACTACTACTACTACTACTACGACCACGACTACTACTACGACCACGACGACGACGACGACTACTACTACTACTGTGTTTCAGGAGCGAGCGATCTGTAATTATAAGTCCCATGGTTGTCATGTCGTGCTGCATCGTCCGATCCGTTACTAAAGAGCCCAGTGCCCCTTAAGTTTCAGAGTTAAGAAGGGAGCAGCCTTGAGATTGCGGCATCCTTTCTCTGCTTTCCGGTTGTCGTTTATACAAGGGGTATTGGTTGCGAACCCTTTCTACAAACCTGGCACGCCACCCTATAAGTACGGGGTTTCAGGATCCCTAAACTACCCTAAACCCTGAACTCTAAGCTCTGAATTCTGAACCCTACGGTAAACCCTAAACCCTCTGGGTTTACCAATAGACTGGCAAGGCGATGGTGTCGCATCGGCGGACGTGGCATCTCTGCAGGCCATGTCTAGGGTTTGGGGGATTCCTGGTCTTGGATGTAGGGCTACGGTTGTTTATGGTGTCTTCCAAGGGTATTTACAGCAAGGTTTCAGGTTCTGGATTTGGGGCTAAGCTAGGTTTACGGTATAAGGGTCATGGTAGAGGGCATATTATTTGAGGTTCCGCAGTCAGAATTTTCAATGCAGCACCATGGCATAGCTTTAGACGACTGGGGTAGCGGCGGTGATGACGACGATTTGCTCCAACAGAATGAAGTGGGGGTTTCCGAAAATAGGGGACCCTCATATAGTACCCCAAATAGTAGGATCCTTATGATAAGGACCCCAACATAAGGTACCCCAAATAGTAGGATCCTTATTATAAGGACTCCCCCAACACAAGGTACCCCTTTTTTCTGAACTCAAGCCCGAGCTCCGAGTGCAGAGCCCTAGCTCGTAAACCTTAGAGACCCAGCACGCGGACGCCATCGACGAGTAATGGTTATTCTACTAATGATATATTAAGAACGGCAATAATACACAACAGTAAGACGAGTAATAATACTAATCATAGTGATAGCATGTCTGCCTATCCAAGACTGTTCTTCTTTCAGGCCTTGTGTGCTCGCTTTCCCAAAGTGAAGTTCCTGGTGACTGCCCCTTGGAGCTTTGCTGTCAGAGCTGAGGGTTGGACTAGGGCCCCCGCCGCCCCCAGCAGTAACCGTACCCTTTCACCCTTTTCTATCTTGGGGTTTCCCTACTAAAACTGAACAATTGCAAAAAGGGTGCCCTGATGGTTAAGGAGATACTGAGGACCCAATAGATGTCTTGCATCATGTGATACCAATGTCCGATTTCAGTTTTCGAGCATTATGCTGGGATGTGTTCTTCGGCGTTTGGGTTCTGTCTAGGAGCACAGCTTTCGTGGTGTATGCCTTGAAGCACCGAAGTAAGGCCTTGGAGTTGCTGAATAACTAATTAGTGGCCGAGAATCCGCTCAAGGTCCGGGTGGAGGGCTCCGAGGGCGTATTTAATCTGGTAATCCGCAACTTTCCCAGCTACTCCCCAGGGATCCCTGCAAAAAGATGTTTTAATCTCACCCCTTCAACCCTATTGCAGTTGAGACCCTCGTGTCACTATAGAACGCAGGAATCCCAACACCCCTTGAATAAAGTATAGACTAGACCATTAACCATAGGGCTTAAATTTAGGGTTTCAGGTATATTCCTTATTCAGGAGCATTGGGATCTGGGAAAAGCTGTTGAAATTCCCAGGTGCTCAGCAGGGCCAACCAGCACGAACTCACCGCCTTGGACTCAGTCAGCAACCGATCCGTAGGGTTTCCGGGAGACCTACCTCGATACCGGTGGGAGCAAGCAGGAAACCACCAATTTTAAGCCGCCCTTCGTTGTCACGGTCTCGTTTTTTTGCCTAGGTGGACAAGGGACTTTGGCCCAATGGTTTTATCAGACTCTTTCCGGCGTGCTTTTAGAGCTTGTCCCATCACCCCGCGAGCAAGACTTATACCGTAAGTGTCATACCTCAAATCAGACGAAACATCCAAAGACTTCGGCTCAAGACTTGTAAGTCGTAAGGCATGCTTGTGGCCACACGGTGTACGGGTGGTAGAGAGTATCGGAAACCATTGGAAGTACAAGGTTCGGGCTGAGATTATTAGATAGTTTACTCTGTGTCAGGAACTCATACTTCATCACGAGGCCCTGTTGAAAACAGGAGAGGAACGAGGCGATGCCCAAGGAAGGGAAAGTCGATCGACGAGTCGGGATGGGGTTTCCTTAGCTGGAACATGGCCGCTGTGGCACACTGGGGCTCGCCAGTGTTCTCACAGGTGTTTTCAAGCATCCCTTTTTGTGCCAGCAATCACGGGGTCTGGCATTGCTGGAAGACTGATGGTGTAAGAAAACGAGGTACGTTGATGAGGCCGGCCGCCCTCTGCTTTGCGTCCTTGCTTGCCGGTCTTAAGAGGGCGCCGCGAGCCTCATCGCGGCAGCTGGCGGCTTGTCAGTCTGCAGCAGGTGATGTGGGCTTCACAGTGGAAGCCATTGATGGCAAAGGCCTTGGCGCTTTGGCAACGGTGCTGATCCGTCGGGGCGACCGCGTGCTGCAAGAGGCCCCGCTGATCTGCATGGACACCAAGCAAACCTCAGCCTTGGACCAGACCGCTTGGCAGGCGCTGGACGAGCTCCTCAGGAAGCAGGTGGAATGCTTGCGAAGCGACGAGGAAGCAAGATTTTGGGCACTCGGAGATGCTTTCACGGAGGGGGAGAAGACGGCAGCTGGGGTCTTCTGCACCAATGCGGTGTCTTGCGAAGGGCAAGCGATGCTCTTTCCGCAAACTTCGAGGATGAACCACAGCTGCCGGCCCAATGTTGTTCACTCCTGGCAGGGTGAGGATGGTCTCATGGTGCTGCATGCAACGAGAGCCATCCAGCCGGGAGAGGAGCTTTGCATTTGCTACGTGCCTGGCTTCTTGTCACAGGAGCAGAGGCAGGCGCAGCTCATGAGGAGGTGGCGCTTCTCCTGCTGCTGCCCCGCGTGCAAATCGGAGTCCACGGGGCGAAGTGACGAGCTGCGACTACGGCTCGCCGCGCTCGATGCGCAGCTGTCCGCGAAGACCCGGCTGTGGCAGTCTCGGTCTTTCACTGCTTCAGAGGCTGAGGCCAAGGAGTCCGCATTGCTTTCACAAGTCTCCGACATGACTGAGCTGATTTTGGCGGAGTTTGGGCCACATCCAGCCATCCTCTGCCAGCTGTTCTACGATGCCTTCGTTCTCCTTCTGCTCTTGGGGAGGGCGCGTTCCTCGGGGCGTATGATTCGCTTGGCGCTTGAGGAGTCGACGGCCGCTGCGGGTCCATCGGCCCAGACTCGCCGCTTCCAACGGTTCGCCTCCGACCCGCGCACCCACCCGGCTTTCTCCATGAGCCGAATCCTAGCAGATGAGCCATGGGGCGAAGACGGCCCAAAAAGAACCGAGAGGTAAGGGCATCATGCATCTTCTACATTCTACATCATCTAGATAGGTGAGGTTGATTTGCAGTGGAGTGAATGAAGCCTGTTATTTCGGCGACGGTTTCACTTTTTCCCATCACGCCTTTTCCCTTTGGCTGTTGCTCGCTTGGTTGCTTTGGTTTTTGCCAGTCTAGTTATGTGGGTAAGGACGACCAAAGAAGGCTAGTGGATAGCAGATTGCATTCATGCGCACCTAGCTGGACTTTGTTCCCCGCCTGGTGCTGTTGTGAAGGGTGACGACGGTACTCTTCGTGGAATCCGTCTGTGGCAGTTCCGACTAAGACTCCACACCCTCAAGCCCTCAATTCTGGATTTGTGTTTGAATTGGTCGCTGGGCGTTCCTCGTGGTAATACCGACGCACTCTTCTCTCGGCAGCTGGGACTCTGGTATGAGCTTGCAAAGGCATTGAGCAACAAAGGCCCCTTCCAACACGAGTAGTAGAGTAAGGCACCCTAGAAGCCGTGTTTACGACCTGAAATGTCAGTAGTGGTAGCACCTTGGTACTTTAGCCATGGAAATGTGAGCCCTGAGGGTTTCATAGCATGTAGATCCTAAGCGCCCAACCCCGGGAGACCCAAAAAGTTTAGGGTTCAGGGTTCTGCGATCCTCGCGCCCGACCTCGACTATTGAAATAGTTAAGGTTCTGCAGGTTTCTATGATTCTGCAACGCTTGGCAGGTTAACCTTGAAGTGTAGCGTTTTTTGACGGTAAATCGGAAACCCCGAACCGAAAATACAGCATTAACCTGCGTTAACAAGTGGACCGTCAGTGAGTCATTCCCAGCACCGCCAGGTCGTGGTGCAAAAGACCCGGAACTTGCACTTGTACGGCTGCTGGTGGCCGCTCGGTTGTTCGGGCTCTCGTTGCTAATTCTAGCTACGAAGAGATCATCACGGCATACTGGTGCAGCAGAGAAAGCCCGGAGCATGCGTTGCTACGCTGCTGCGGCATTTGTGATTGTGCCTTCTGCTGGCTACCGGCCTGCATAAAAACAGCAGTGTACAGAATCATCATCTTTGGCGTCGGCATCTTCCCTTGCCGCCAAGCCTGCACAGTCATCACATCATCACAACCATCATCGTCGTCGCAGTCGTCGTCGTCGTCGTCGTCGTCGTCGTCGTAGTCGTCATATGTCGTCATCATACCCTTCCTCGTCATCATCACCACCGCCATCAGCAACAGGATGCTTGTGCTTCCGTTGCCATAACTTTTGTCAGGCATTCTGGATATGTGTACCTGCTCGGCAGGATTTCTTTGGGTCAGAGCCAGGTTACCCTGTTTTGAAAGGGGCTTTCAATACTGGCTTGGCCTTGCAATTGAAGACCTCGGCCCGGATCCCTCGGCGTTGTGCCCAGGTACTGCAACAACCCGTCCATCATTGAGGACCCCAAGGGCCCTCAGGGCTGGGGCGCTATGTCGGACCCTTAGGGTTTAAAGGTATGGACGCCCCACTGCAACAAGGTTCAGGGTGTAGCTCCCGGGCGACGAGGCAAGCCACCTGCAAAAGTTCTCTACCTGCAGTCTCCATTGCAGTTCCGTTTTGGGGGGTCACTTTATAGGATCCCCAAAAAAGGAACCACACTGGAGGTAGTCTTGGTGGGAAGCCTGAAGTTGAAGCTTTGCATGAAAAGGAACTCCAAAGCCCTAAGCCCTGTACCCACAGCCCCAGTTTCAGCTTTATGGCTCCGCTCTCGGAAAGACGGTTGCAGGCCAGGATGCTTCAAACTTCCCTGGCCAATCAGTGGCCAGAAAGCTGCAACATGAACACTTTAAGCCCCAAGCCCTGGACCTTGAGCCCGAAGTAGTCTAACCTCTACATGCAAAACCCTATTGTGCATATCATGGCCGTTATCTTAGACTCTGAATTCTTTATGCTGTCGAGGAGCTTACGAAAATGCGCGTCGAGATGCTCGGCACCTCGGGCAGAGTTCTTGGGCTTCGGTTTAGCGCAGCCTCCAGTGGGTAGTTCGGCCAGGGTTCGAACTTACCCAAGCCTGTGCATGGCTTTGTTTTTTTTGGCGACCGCACCCCCCCCCCGACCCCCCAGCTGACAAGGCCCCCAATTGCACTCCAATGTTCTGGATATGTCAATATCCTAACCCTAAACAACGCCTATTCCAAATTCTGCAACCTTGTAGAGATCCACCGTGATCACCGGTTCAAACCTCTGTAAACAAGCTTAAACATGCAGAAACCCTTGACTGATCACGCCGAGGAAACGGGGAGTGTCGGAGTTTCGGGCGCGACATAGACGTCTAATTGTTGCGTTGTAACAATGCCCCCCTTCCACAAATAAAAGAACAAACAACGGAAACCACTGAACTACCTTCCAAACTGGCCTTCAATCAAGGCAAGGATTTGCTAAATAGAGCCTCGATCAAGATATTTATCCCTGGACGGACATCGCCAAAGGATCCTTTATATGCTGGTTTGGTATGTTCTGTGCCTCACAGGTTTGAGTACTTAAGCATGTCGCCCCCGCTTGTAGCTCTTCTTGAGTCTTACGAGAAAACTACCGCGAAACCCCATTCTAAGCGTTAAGGCCCCATGTTGGGACAGTTTAGTAGGTGGCAATTAGATCAGAGAGTGGGTCTGACTGGGCTCAAGGCCTGCCGGCCTGGAGACACTGTAGGGTTTAGCTTGTTCAGTGCACGGGTTGCTGTAGGGTTTAAGACTAGGCTATTTGGTGCCATTTAAAGCGTAGAGTTTGGCTCAGGGCTTTTACGGCTGGGAAACGTCCTGAACATTACATCCTGAGCCCCGAACTTCGAAATCCCGCCTTCTTCAGGCACGGCTTTCACTGCTCAGCACAGTGACGCACATCAGCAAGTGTGTTCAAGGATGAGCTGAAGGTCAGTCTTCTGGGTTACTTCGGGAGCGCATGAGGTAAGAGTTGTTGCTTAATGCCTCGCTAGCAGCTAGCACCCCGACCGTAAAGCCCAACACAATGCAAGCCGACAGCCGTAGGCTTTGACAGTTGCGAGGCTTCATGTTCCTAAACCCTAAAGAATGAAATTCGGACTTCCTGTAGAATTATGGTGTGGATCGGTCGGTGTGGTATGCAGAATCGAAGGTTGTGAGATGCCTCAAGTTCTTGGAGTTTGAGTCAAGTGTTCTCCTTCGCCAGAAGAGCGAATCCAGGATAGCCAGCGGTATTAGGTTATTAGGAGCGTAGAACAGCAGCAATGGAGTGTGAAATGAGAATGAGGGGGGTGAGGAGAAGCATGCTTGAGAACTAGGAGCAGTAGTACGCATGACAAAGACGAAGGCATGAACACAATCTCATTTCGCGAGAGACTACGGCCGTGCAGGGTTGTTCAGAGTGTTGTTCAGATCATAAACCCTGATGGGGGTTTCCGAAAATAGGGGACCCTAATATAGCACCCTAAATAATAGGACTCCGTATTATAAGGACCCCAAAATAAGGTACCCCCTATCTTCGAAAACTCCCTGATTGCCTAGATTACATGCCTGTCGCACTTCACAGCTAAGGCCGGACCCCTAGAGAGTCACACGTTTAGGGTTTTGGGGTTTAGGGTTTAGGGTCAACGCGCTTTCACCTTAAACCCTAAGCCTGTAGAGCCTTTGAAACTGGGCTTTGAACAAGAAGCAAAACCCTAAACTATCCCCGAACTACACATATCCCTTAACATGAAATTATAGGGGGCTTCGTATTCTGGTTTAAGGTATCTTCCTTATTTCTGAGGTATTGGGATCTCTGGGCGAGTAGGGTTTGGCTCTTCGTTGTGACTGAGATGTTCAGGGTTTTCTGGGTTTAAGCCATACCCTAACCCTCCAATGCCTACGAAGAGGATCAACGGACTTAGTGACTTAGTAAGTAGGTTCGCGACGAGGTTACTATGGTCATGTCTACTTGTAACCGTAGTTTCCAAGACGCTTATAACTTATAACCCTACTTGCTAAGTCCCTTGA